ATACTTGATATGATTTCAATTTTCTTAAATTTACCAAGGCTTGATTTGGTCTATCGTGGAGAATGTTCCATGTGCACTTGAGAAGAAAGTGTATTCTGTTGTTTTTGGATGGTATGTCCTATAAATATCAATTAAGTTCATCTTGTTTAATGTGTCATTTAAAGCTTGTGTTTCCTTATTCATTTTCATTTTGGATGATCTGTCCCTTGGTGAAAGTGGGTTGTTAAAGTCCCCTACTATGATTGTATTACTGTCGATTTCCCCTTTTATGGCTGTTAGCATTTGCCTTATGTATTGAAGTGCTCCTATGTTGTGTGCATAAATATTTACAATTGTTATATCTTCTTCTTGGGTTGATCCCTTGATCATTATGTAGTGTCCATCTTTGTCTCTTGTAATAGTCTTTATTTTAAAGTCTATTTTTTCTGATATGAGAATTGCTACTCCAGCTTTCTTTTGATTTCCATTTGCATGGAACATCTTCTTTCATCCCCTCACTTTCAGTCTGTATGTGTCCCTAGGTCTGAAGTGGATCTGTTGTAGACAGCATATATATGGGTCTTGTTTTTGTATCCATTCAGCCAGTCTATATCTTTTGGTTGGAGCATTTAATCCATTGACATTTAAGGTAGTTATCAATATATATGTTCCTATTACCATCTTCTTAATTGTTTTGGGTTTGTTATTGGTCTTTTCCTTCTCTTGTGTTTCCTGCCTAGAGAAGTTCCTTTAGCATTTGTTGTAAAGCTGGTTTGGTAGTGCTGAATTCTCTTAACCGTTGCTTGTCTTAAAGGTTTTAATTTCTCCATCAAATCTGAATGAGATTTTTGCTGGGTAGAGTAATCTTGGTTGTAGGTTTTTCCCTTTCATCACTTTAAATATGTCCTGCCACTCCCCTCTGGCTTGCAGAGTTTCTGCTGAAAAATCAGCTGTTAACCTCATGGGGATTCCCTTATATGTTATTTGTTGCTTTTCCCTTGCTGTTTTGAATATTTTTTCTTTGTATTTAATTTTTGATTGCTTGATTCATATGTGTCTCGGCGTGTTTCTCTTTGGGTTTATCCTGTATGGTACTCTCTGTGCTTCCTGGACTTGATGACTATTTCTTTTCCCATGTTAGAGAAGTTTTTGACTATAATCTCTTCAAATATTTTCTCAGACCCTTTCTTTTTCTCTTCCTCTTCTGGGACTCATGTAATTCGAATGTTGGTGTGTTTGATGTTGTCCTAGAGGTCTCTGAAACTCTCCTCAATTCTTTTCATTCTTTTTTCTTTATTTTGCTACCTGGCAGTTATTTCCACCATTTTGTCTTCCAGCTCACTTATCCCTTCTTCTGCCTCAGTTATTCTGTTATTCATTCCTTCTAGAGTGTTTTTAAGTTCAGTAATTGCATTGTTCATCACTTTTTGTTTGCTCTTTAGTTCTTCTAGATCCTTGTTATATGTTTCTTGTATTTGCTCCATTCTGTTTCTGAGATTTTGGGTCATCTTTACTATCATTAGTCTGAATTCTTTTTTAGGTAGGTTGCCTATTTGATATTCATTTATTTGGTCTTGTAGGTTTTTACCTTGCTCCTTCATCTGCAACATATTTTTTTGTCATTTCATTTTTTCTTTTTTTGATGGTTGGTGCTGTATTCCTGTCTTACTGGTTGTTTGGCCTGAGATGTGCAGCACTGGAGTGTGCAGGCACTTAGATAGAGCTGGGTCTTGGTGCTGAGATGAGGACCTCGGGAGGCCTCATTCCAACTGATATTCTCTGGGGGTCTGAGGTTCTCTGTTAGTCCAGCGGTTTGGATTCAGAGCTCCCACCACAGGAGCTTGGGCCTGACCTCAAGCCTGGGAAACAAGATCCTGCAAGCTTCGTGGTGTGGTCAAAAAAAAAAAAGGAAGAAAGAAAGAAAAAAAGGAACAGTACAATATCAAAGAATAAAAAATAAAATAAAATTAGAAACATAAAAAATATATTAGGAAAACTAAACTATAATTGAGACAACTGCAACAAGGTAAAATAAAACCACAACAGAAAAAAGAAAAAAAAAAAAAAAGGTGGGGGGAACAGCCCAAAGGAGAGATCACTAACAAAGTATAAAGAATAAAATAAAATTAGAAAAATAAAAGATTTATTAGGGAAAAAAATATAAAAGAATCAACAACAATGAATCAACAAGGTAAAACAGAACCCCAATCTAAAAGAGGAAAAAAGAAAAGAAAAAAAAAAAGTCTTACCTATGGGGGCGGAGTGTAGGCGGGGGTGGAACTTAGGCAGGGTCAGGGTTTAGGGTGAGGTGGGACCTTCACGGGTTGGGGGGTGACGTTTGAGCATGGGGTGGGGGCCTAGGTTCAGGACCCACACAGCGGAAAAGGCCCTGGGGGCGGGGCCTAGTTGGGGCGACGTTCAAGCGTGGGGTGGGGCCTCTGCTTAGGATCTGCACAGAAAGGGAGAGGCAGCGTGTGGAAAGGAGGGCATCTGGAGTGTGGAGTTCCAGAGTTTGGAGGTAGGGCCCTGAGTGAGGGTGTGTGGGCGGGGTTTAGGCCCAGTGTGTTGGAAGGGGTCTCCATGTGTAAAGGTGGGGCCCTGAGTGGGGTTGTAGGCATGGGGCTTGGGTTCTGCACGGCAGAAGGGAGGCTCTGAAGGCAGAGATTAAGCCCCGGAGCCCAGCAGGCTCCCCGGTGCCTATGTGGACAGGAAAAACACTGGCCCCGTTCCCTTACTTCACACCCCTCCCCCACTGTCTCCCCCCAGGGTCTCCCCCGCCCCGTTGGACACCTAACCGTGGGTGGGTCCCAATGGGTGTAGGAGTGCCTCCCCTCCCCCAGCAGCCCCTCAGGGGTGCTAGTCACAGAGGTCCGGCCTTTACTTTTGCTCCCCCTTCCCTCCCTCCCGCTCCTTCAGGACCCGCGTGGCTGGAGGGGGCCTCGGTGGGCAGAGGGTCAGGCCCGGGATCTTAGCAGGTTCCTGGGGGGTCCAAGTGGGCAGGGGAGTCCTGGCCACACTCCCTTTTGATCCTCTGCCCTCCCAGTGGTTCCCCAATTTCTCCCTCCAGGCATGAGATCCCTTCCCCTCCCCCAGTCGCCCCTCAGGGACGCCAGTCGCATCCCACCTCCACTTCTCCTCCCCCTTTACTCCCCGCATGCCCCACGTCCTACCCGGTCACTGGGTGTTCCTCCCATCCCTAGGTGTTCGTGGTCCCCCACAGGTGCCTGGTAGGTGCCCTAGTTGTGAGGAGATGCGAATTCTGCATCCTCCTGGTACGCCATCTTGATTCTGCTCCCCCTTTACTAATTCTTAAATCTTTAGTCTTTGTTCAGGAGAAAATATATTAAGGAAATATGAAATAGTATTATATAAGAAAACCTTAAGAATAGAAGCTACAGGGGCTTCCCTGGTGCCGCAGTGGTTGAGAGTCTGCCTGCCGATGCAGGGGACACGGGTTTGTGACCCGGTCCGGGAAGATCCCACATGCCGCAGAGCGGCTGGGCCCGTGAGCCATGGCTGCTGAGCCTGCGTGTCCGGAGCCTATGCTCCGCAATGGGAGAGGCCACAACAGTGAGAGGCCCGCGTACCTCAAAAAAAAAAAAAAAAAAAGAATAGACGCTACAAGCTAGAAATAAATTAATATACAGCAATTTTTATTCATTGATTTATATTAATCAATCAAAATTTAAATGAGTCACCTAAAATTGAATAAGCATAGAGGAGGGATACAGTTATGAGTTTACGTAATGAAAAATACCCAAGTATTAATTAGATATATGAAACTGATCGTTAACTTCTCTTGAAAGTAAACATGTATACATATCATGAGCAAAAATACAAAACACATAGAGAATCTCTGACAAACCACCTCTGCAAATCTGCATATATATGCTTATGCATAGAAAAGCTATATAAAGGCACTAAAATAAACTTAATAGTCACCCTTTTTCTTTTATACTTTGATTAAAAGCTAACTTTTTTTACAACTCTTAATAAATATTAATTAAAATAATTCACTGACCAATTTATATACTGGAATTATTTGAGGCCTATTGGAAATGTTATTTAAAAAATGTCTGTTGCTTTAAAACCATTTAAAATTTTAAAATCATAATATTTTCTGTATTAAAAAAGACAAAGGAGGTAAACTCTTCAATTTCTCTTCAATTATCAAATAATAACTTCTGTTTATGACCCATCGTGTTGGGTCTTCAGATGTCAGGGTTATTCACTGAACCCTGACTGTTGCACCTTAGAGTAGCGAGAATGAAGGCCCCTGGAATTATAGCCATGACACAGCTTTTGATGGAAACTATAAAGGAGCATACAGCCTCTGTGTGTAGCTCTGCAGACCTCAGTTACAGAACTGAAATATCTCAGATGTGCCCTGTCTCAGTTTGTAGTTCTAATGCTGTTTACACAACCTTTCATTCACATATGAATTTTGATATTACCGTGTTCCAAAATGGTCTGTAAAAGATCTAGAACCAAATGCATTGGGTTAAAAGTCATTTGTCTTGACAACTGAGATATAAAAATGGAGATCAGTTTATTAGAAACCTGGTCTCTGTGACTCTTTTATATAAAGGGCTGATGAAAAATCAGTTTTATATGCCCATGAAGCAAGCGGTTTTATATATTTAGATGAGGGAGGTGGGTTTACAGATTCATCCCCAAACAAAATTAAATATTTACCTTGTTGAGAATATAGACTCTAAAAGCATTTTTTCCTTACTGTATCAAAGTGAATGTTTTATACAAGCCACAAAAGGAAAACACATAATGAACATCTGTGAAATTAAAAGCGAATTACTTTCTGCAGCCTTGACTAAACACCCACTGTAACCTAAAGAGAATGTGTCTGAGTGTACTTGACGTCCTGAAGAATACTATTATACTATTAAAATGCAGATGCTGGTTTCTATCATTTGTAGGTATGAGAACAAAGCTAAATGCAAAAGAATATGCATAAACTTATTTCTTTAAGAATATGAACTCATTTCTTTCAGACTTTAGTTCTTCTCCTGTAGGGGTATAGGAGAAAGCAAAAAAACCACCACCAACAAAACCCAGTTATTGGCCCTTTTCAGTATGATAGGTACAGGTTGCCAAGGGGCTGTAGTAAAAAGACAGAAACAGGCAGACCTGGATTTCAGCCCAGCTCTTATGTAGCTGTGCAGTGTTAAGCTTATCACTTAACCTTTCTGAGCCTTAGTAAACTGGGGTAATGCTTACCTCGAAGGTTTGTTACATGTAATCTTACATGTGGTATGTGTTCAGTACATGCTAATGGTCATGCTAACAGATGGAGTTGATTGTTGAAGGCATTAAATTAGACCCTATGAAACTGACATTTTTGTAGATTAAAAAATGGCCATACTTCAGATCTCATTGTAAGGTGGTCCCCTCTTAGGAGCCTCAAGGGCACTGTTACAGTGGGGCCACAGTGTAGACGGCAAGGTCAAATTCCTTGGTGAGTTTTCAGTCGATGGTCAGGGATGGCCATATTCATCAGTGACTAGTTTATAAGATGCTGAAATAACATCCACAACCATGGAGCTCGGGTCTCTTCAGCTATCCCACTGCCTACTGCCTACACAGACAAATATTTTGTTTCACCTAAGTTAGCATATTAAACTCACTGCATTTGAATGGTTACAGCACTGTTCTAGAGTCACAAGGGCACAACAAGAATGGACACCAGCACACCGTTTTGCCCACCCTTTTTAATAACATCAATAACATAGGCAAGCCTGTCTAGACTTTTGATGATCCATGTACTCTCCTTAAAGCTCTGTTTCAAGGTGCTTTCCATATTGTTGATTTCCTTCTCAGTCACTCTCCTTTGCCCTTGAGGCAGGCATTTCCGGAAATTTCCACTCAGCAGGATGTAGAGGAAAGGGTTGATGCTGCTGCCGGCATAGCTGAGACAGATGGAGAGGTAATAGCCCATATAGAAAGCCAGCGTGGGCTGCTCTGTCTGTAAGTTCACCAGTTGTATCATGTGATAGGGGGCAGCACTCAAGATAAAGACCGCCACCAGCACCGTGAGCACCGTCCTCGTCAGCTTCATCACTCTCTGCCTTGGAACACTGGGATTGTAGCTGTAGCGGAAACATTTGGAGAGACAGGACACAAACAACCATAGAAATTATGGGACAACAATGTCCCAGAACTTTTTGGACAGTTCAGAATGGCTATGTAGTGAAATGTGAAGCTCATTTTTCTTCTTACTTATTTGGAGCACTGTGAAAATACTCTTTTTCAGCCCTGTGAAAAATTGCCTGAATTTTCCAAAGCTGGAACATTTCGAGAAACAAAATAAATTACATAGCAGTGAATTATAATCCAAAGTATCAGATAAAGATATATGAATTTGTACTGATATAAATGATTGAATAACATGGGAGAGAAGCGACAAACCTTCTTTACAGAAAAATTCCAAATAATATATGTAGATACTCCCCTTTCCAGGAGACACAGCTTAATTCTCACCCTCCTTTCCCTCTTGAGGGTGGGCTATACTTAATGACTCGTTTCCAAATAATGGAATAGAGAAAGGGATAAGTAGTCAGTTTGAAGTGAAGAAACCTCGTAAACACTACCTTAACCTTAGAGTCTCATCGTGATACGTTATCAGACAAACCGAGACTGGGGGACATTCTACAGGATACCTGACCAGTACTCCTTAAGTACAGTACTTAAGACTACAAGGTTATGAAAAACAAGGAAAGAGTGAGAAACTGTCACAGACCAGAGGAGACTGTGGCGATGTGTCAACTAAATGCAGTGTGGTCCCCTGGATTGAATCCTGGAGCAGAAAGAGGACTTTAATGGAAAAACCAGTGAAATCCAATATAGAATAGAGTTTAGTTAATAGTGCTGTACTAATGCCATTATCTTTGTTTTGACAAATGCGACATGGTAAGATGTTAATGGGGAAACTGGAGTGAGGAGTATATGGAAACTCTCTGTACTACTTATGCAAGTTTGATGTAAATTTAAAATTTTTCTAAAATAAAAAATTCTTAAATTTCCCAAATTTCATCATGTTATGTCATATTTAGACATTAACTAGAAATTTCTCTGGGACATGACAAGCAGATGAATAAGCCTGGGAAATGGCAGCTGAAAATCACTCTAAGATAATGATTCTTCTGCAGTTCATCAGAGTAGGCACCATCATTCCTCTAACTTATTGCATTTTTAGGGATAACTGGACCGTATGAACTTTGTTTTATAAGATGCTCTTAGCATTTCTGAGAAAGGTGTTGGGAGCAAAGTGATCTGATTTGGAGAACTGTTTTAAAAGGGTTCAAGCGTCCTCTCCAGCTGTCAATGTCGTAATATTCCATATGATTCCATTTCAACCTTCTCACCCGTGATACATTTAGAAGCTAATTTTTGTCTATAACTGTGGTTACTTCTCTTTCCCATTCTAAATAGACCACTCTTTTTTTTTAAAAATATAATAGTGTTTATTTATTTTTACTTGTTGACAGTTTGCTTTATTTATTTATTTATGGCTGTGTTGGGTCTTCGTTTCCGTGCGAGGGCTTTCTCTAGTTGTGGCAAGCGGGGGCCACTCTTCATCGTGGTGCGCGGGCCTCTCACTATCGTGGCCTCTCTTGTTGCGGAGCACAGGCTCCAGACGCGCAGGCTCAGTAATTGTGGCTCACGGGCTCAGTTGCTCCGCGGCATATGGGATCTTCCCAGACCAGGGCTCGAACCCATGTCCCCTGCATTGGCAGGCAGATTCTCAACCACTGCGCCACCAGGGAAGCCCTAGACCACTCTTTAATAATGTAATAATTCCAAAGAATTTAAAGAAATCAGAAAAAATGTCATGGGCCAATAGAACACCTAAACCTTTGGTACCAGGGTTTGCCACAAATTTTGACTAATGGTGGTTACATTTTTCACATATTCTTTTTTTTAAATCTTCACAGTGTTACATATGGTGTGTGGGGAAACCCCACAATCTTGTCTTCTCAAAAAAATACAGTAATTTATTCTAAAGACAAATTTTAATAATGATTTTTTAACCTAACATGTTGTATAATCACTGACTCATTTGAACAACCTGATATGTACAATTTCAAGTGGAAAATAATTTAGATTTATTCATATAGTTTTAGAGACAAGTATCATTAAAAGTCCTTCCTAAGTTTATTGTCTTTAGGTAAGTCTTTGGTTTTATTTAGTCCTAAGTAACCGTGTTCTAAGTATTCAAATATTAATGAGATCCTCCTCCCCACACTAAAAAAAACCCCACAAAAATTAAAAGGTTATAAAATATACACAACATCTAGGGTATTTACATATGTACACAACTCTGCAAAATGTACAAATAAAACATTTAAATAACAATGCTGATGACAAATACAAAATTATTCTTTAAACAGAGTCTTGAGTTCTGTTTACATTTTTATGAAACCATTACATCAGTGATTACAATATTTATCACTGAGAGATCCTCAAATAGCTGCTTCAGAACATGACTTATTTTCAGAAAATGCCTTATATAGACATTAATGCCCATATGTCTGAGCTTGGCATGTTTCAAGTGACTAATGCTTAAGCTTCTATTGTAGACATCTTAGATCTCTGAACTGTTCTTTTAACAAATAAAACAAAATAAGGCATACACTTACCATCTGGCAACCTTATTCTGTTGATACATCTCCCAGGTATAGCATAAAATTAAAATATAGCACACCAAAATCAAGGGCAAAGGGAAAAAGAAAGTTGTTATCGTCATATACAGAGTATACCTGTAAAATGAGAGAGAAGACATGACTGTTACATTCACAACGCTAGGGACTTCTACAGTTTATGATTCTGTGATTTTTCAGGGCCCAGAATAAAAGTGCTTGGGGGAAAAGTTAAGGCTCTCTGGGTACTTTCACATACAGAAGTTCTGCTTTTCATTATTCATAGACAACGACTCTTCTCTAGCCAGCTCTTCTCAGTAGCCAGTGCTACTGAGTACTGCAGAGTGGGTGAAGGTGCTTATTATCATTATATTTAGTGTTATTAACAACAACAGGCAACAGGTGGCATTTGTTATGTAGTAGGCACTATTGAGGGTGCTTCACATATTTTAACCCATTGAATCTGTGCATCCCCAGGAGTACAATGCCATTAGCACCTTCATGTTACGGAGGAGGAAACTAAGGCACAGAGGGGTTGAGCGGCTTGCCCAAGGTTACTCAGCTAGTAGGTGGCAGAGGTAAGATTTGAACCCAGATACTCAGGCCAGCTCCAGAGCTCACGCTTGTAACTGAGACTCCGGATGGTCTCTCAAAGGGCACAGAAGAGGACCTGTTGTCAAATCAGCCGGTCATTTTCTCAGTGCTCCACCGGGGGGAACCCTTGGGTGGGCCAACTCTGTTTCTGCCCAGACACCGGGTATCCTCCTTCCGGGGCAAAACCCTTGTGTGGAAGAAGGCAGCTGGCATTGGGTGGGTGTGGACTGGGTGGCAGAGAGAGCGCTCCGGAGCCAGAGGGCCTCTGAACGTAGCACACTAGTCCCAGTCTCCGTTCACCGTAAGGACTTAATTCTGGCAGGAACAACAGAGGCCAGAGCCTCAGAATATCCCTTACCATAGCCAACCGAAAAGAGCAGAAACAGCTGTCGCTGCAAAATAGTCTCTGCTTATGTGACACAGGCCAAAGTCATGTAGTCATATAGTGAGCTTCAGGTCCTGCTCTCCTTTCAGACCGGGTGCGGCCAGGTTAATTTATCAGCCCGCGGTGATTAACTATCATTTCACCTTTAGATGAGCTGACGCTTTCTGTCTGTGAGTGGAGCCACTGCTGTTGTGAGAAATAACGAATAAACAATCATGGTATCGACGTTGCACTCCTCTGGAGATTTTTTTGTTGCTGGATTTGTAGCCTTGCTGGGCCTCTACCTCTACCCCTCTCGGACTGTGTCTATGTGATGCAGAAATGACTCATCTATTTGACAAGTGGTAGACTGGGAAAAAGGGATCTGCCAGACTGACTTGCCATAATGTATGTAAAAAGCACCTAGCACAGTACCTGACCCTTAGCAGGCAATCGAAAAATCTTAGTCAGAGATTCTAATGCTGTGTTCAAAATTTCAATCAGAAAAATTTCGACTTAATTTTTCTTTTCAAATTAAAATGTAATAAATGACTGTGTTGGTTGCTGTATTAGTTTCCTAGAGCTGCTGTAACAAATTACCACACACTGGATGGCTTAAAACAATAGAAATTTACTGTCTCACAGTTCTGGAAGCTGGAAGTCTGAAATGAAGGTGTTGGCAGGGTTGGTTCCTTTTTGGGGTTTGGGGGAGGGAGTATGGGCTCCAGGACTTTTCTCCTAGCCTCTGGTGGCTTCTGGCAATCCTTGGTGTTCTTTGGCTTATAGACACGTCACTCCAGTCTTTGCCTCTGTCTTCACATGCATCCTCTCTGTGTCTCTTCAAATCTCCCTCTCCTTATCAGGAACCAATCATCGGATTTAGGGCCCACCCTAATCCAGTAAGACCTCATCTCAACTTGATTATATCTGCAAAGACTATTTCTAAATAAGATCGTATTCACAAGCATTGAGAGTTAGATCTTGGATATATCTTTTCGAGGGACGCGACTCAACCAAACTCCAGCTGCATATTGATAAGGTGTGAGTCTCATAACTCCTAGACCCTTTTGGAAAGTCTGCCCCTCCCTTGGTTGCTGTGCTCCTAGTGAATCTGGCTGCCATGGATCTTTAAAATCCACATTTAAATATATTTGCACCCACTGAGGCTACATGATTAAACTCAGAATCTTCTTCTAAAGGTTACCCTCTCCTTAAAATCAAACTATCAACTTGATGGTGGGAAGCAGAGGACTAAGTGGGGAGACCGGCCCGAAGAGGATCCCCAAGGACACTCTTCGCGGTTGCTCACGTGTTGACAAGGAGGATGAAGCACTTCAAGATTTAATTCAAGTCTATTCTTCTTCAGTTTTAACAACCTACCAGAGTACATCGTCAGGGGATGTTAAATCAAAGCACAACTCTCAACGCCGTCATTAAATCTGATGACCTTCGAGTAGACCCAGTCAGGCAACGCAAGAATAAAGGCAGCTGCCCAAAGGCCCAGATTGATGTGGCTTGTCTTGTACCTTGTTCTTCAACTCGTCAGTCTCGGTTGGATGAGAGCCAAGTACCTGCAAAGCCGGTTAAGAAGGGTTTGGGAACAATCAATAAAAGCACTGAGCTCCAAGGATGAAAGGTTCATGACAAGAGTAAATTATTAGTATTATTATCCTCCCTGAAGCACACCTCTATCAGGGTGAAAGAAAGTTATATTTTTTAAGAGCTGGCTGGTACCTGTAGAGAAAACAATTCTTGACCCCGTAAGTCTGAATAAACCACTCACTGATACACAGCTGTCACTTACATGAAGACCCTGAAAATGGTAAGATTCTGCTGTGCAAACTTTTTCTTTACAGAGGTGCTGCCCTTGCACAAGAGGCTCTGGAAAACTTTGTCTCTGAATGGGGATTTCCTCCAGGAGGGCAGGACAGGAGGGAGGGTGTACCAATGTGGGACAGGAGGGACGGTGGCTGATGTAGGACAGGAAGGAGGAAAGTGCGTTGGCTGGTGGGAGAATCCCCAGCAGCATGAGATTCAGGCACCTGGGACAGACATCTTGCTCACATGGCTTTAGAGTTAGTTCCCCAGGCTCTTGGGGGCTTAGTTCACAGAAATCACAGTGAGAATTAACAAACGTGACTAGCAGACAATACAAATTCCTCAGGAAACGTAGGCTGGAGGGGGGTTGTGGACTAATTTCATGGGGAAGGGGTTCTCTCTTTTCTTTTTTTCTATTTTGATCCAGAAAAAAGGATAATCATTAATCAACCTTGAAATCCTGATATATCAAACATATTTGGTCCTCCAGCAAATCCAAGAATAATTTTTCAGACACAGCTGAAAGCTAAAGCATGAAAAAGAGAGCTCAGATCCAGAGGAGGTATTTGAGAAAGCACAGTTTTGCTGGCAGTCGGGGGTGTAGGAAAGCAGCATTAGTAGACATTAAACAAATGTCAAATGTGGTCAATGGTCCTTTAATTTTCTCCAAGATTTTGTAGAGCTACTTAAGGAAGATTTATGAAAATGGAAAATTCTCCGTCTCCTTGCTCTTTCAATTTTGCACAAGAGGTAGGACGTTTTGCACTCACTTAGGGGACCCCTTGCCATGCAGGGACAGGCTTGTGACCCCGGGTGCCTCAGCCACCCCTCCTTCCCCACACTGCACCTGCGTTACCTGTCGCCAAGGAGAGAAAGCTCCCTTCCCTTCCTGCTGAGGAAGGGAATGAGGTAGTGATTGTACAGCAACCCTGCCATCATTCTGTCTGGGATTAAAGATGATGGAGTCATGGCATCAATCGGTTAGGGAATCTTCTCTCATCATCTCCCCAACTGAAAACCCTTCAATGGCTTTTCTTTGTCTTTTAGATAAAATTCAGAATTCTCACCATGACCCTTGATGTCTTTCTCCCTCCGGCCCTCCCTGTCACTCAGGCTGAAGTTTGTGCCAGTCTCTCCCTGGCCTTCCTTCAAACTCTGTCTCTTTCAGCGTCAGGTACATGCTGTTCTACCCGCCTGGCAGGACGTGCCTCTCCTTCCTCCTGCTTCTACTCTGAGTCCCCATTTAGGTCTCCCTCTCGGAGAAGCTTCCCCTGACCACTCGCTCTATACGAGGGCCCATGACTATAAATGCGGATCGTGGGGCAACTCTACTTTTCCTTCTAGTAGGTATCATTGTGTGGAAATACACATTTACCCGTGTGACTCTTCACGGTGTAATGTCTGTCTACACCTCTGGAATGGAAGCCCCACGAAGGCAGGAGCCTTGGCTATTAGTTTAATGCTGCTGTACCTCCTGTGTCTGGCATCATTCCTGTCATATGGTCTGTGCTCAATAAATATTTGGTAAATGAATGAATGGGGAATTTTGGCTCCTACTTACTGACTTCGTTGTTGTTCTAGAAAATTTACTAAAGAAAGTAACCACTAATGAAAGTCTAGGTAGCTTTCACCTAGAGGCAAATATTTTTCATATGTTGGATGTTTATAGAATTTTTTTGTATTGCTTTAAAGGTAGGAGCCCTCTCTTAAAATATTCCACACACTTGCAGTTATTAATTAATCAGAGAAAGAAAAATGAAAGAGTTATGGGAAACACTTGAGTTTTATGATCCATTAAATTGACAATTCAAATAAATGTATAAACAATAAGGCATACTGGTGGCACTGACATTAAGTGCTGGCATTACAGAGAAAACTTCATTTCTGTTTTACAGAATTATAGATTTTGTTGAATTTTTGTGAATTTAGTAGAGTTAGAACTGCAAGAAATGCCAGGGGCTGGGGGAAAGGTTCAGTTTTACAAGATCTTTATTTGTCTCTGGCCACGTGATCCTCTAAAGTGAGGGCAGGGAGAAGGATAAAGGCCTGAATGTCTTAATTTGAAAGTAAAATTTTAGCATTCTGTGTCCATAAGGTTAAAAGAAAAATACACACTTTTCAGTTGTGTAAGATACACACACACACACACATACACTCAGAAAAAACCTGTGAACATTAGGAAATGTTCTGTGGTCTGTTCTAAGGCAGACAACGTGCTTTCACTTTATTTGCAGTAAGAGGTTTACCGAAGGGGTACAGTTTCCCCTCTTTAAAGAAAAAGCCGATACTCTCCTGCCTTCATGGTATGTACATGGTATGAAGAAGCTTTTCTCCTTCTGAGAATAGGATCACGATGGTGAGGACTATACTTTAGGTTGCTTTTCTGCAGTGGTTCCTGCCCCGCGCAGGGCTCTGGTGTTGGAACCCTGGCAAGCTCACCAGGCTTTACTCCACACACCATCAGCATTGGTGGCATCAGCTGAACTAACCAGATCGACCTACCCGGCACGCAGATTAAAAAATGTGAAGCTAAGTATAAGTTGAGAAGTATACTCTACATATTTTGATAATTCTTTTGTAGAAAAGCAGCAGGATATAAAAACTGCATTAAACGTTACCATCATTATTCACGTCTGAATAATAATGATCCACGTCTGAATAATAATAATAATAATAATGATTCACGTTACCATCATTATTCACGTCTGAATAATAATAATAATAATAATGAATGATTTATATGGACCCCGCTATTCCTTTGTTTATCCATCTGAAGAACTGCTCATCCCTTCCCGACCCCAAAGGCCCACTTGGAAGGGTAAGAGAGGCAGAGCTCAGGAAAGAGTCCTTGATGGACTCAGGGAAATTTAACACAGCCCTCAAGACTGACATTCACTCATTCATCCATCAGTAGTTTTTGAGCACCCGTGTGCCAGGCACTGTTACACAGACACTAGTGTAGTGACCAAAGACCCTGCCTTTGTGGATTTTACGTTTGATGATCAGGGAAGGCTAGACAAAAACAACACACATGCATATCTTTGTACACGAAATATACTAACATATGTAATATATTCGAAGCAAGGGAGAAAGAAAAAGTAGATCAGAGCAAGGGGGACCAAGTGTGCTGGGTTGGGCTTGGGGTGGGAAGAAGGTGGATAGAGATTTCAAGTGGGTTGCTCTGTTGTGCTTTCTACTGTTGTCTTCAGGGCTTGTTTCTGTTTGGGGAATGCTGCTAAGAGCTGGTGTGGAGGTCCTGCCATCTGGGTGATGCAGGGCACATCCTAGCTTGCATGCTTCCTAAAGAAACCAGGTGGTGAGGTAGTTGCCAGCTACCTGCCCTCTCCAGAGCTGGACAGCCTGCCTCTGAACTGGGCTCCATCACTCACTGGCTCCACAGGCTCTGGCCATCACCATTATCTCCTTGAATAACGTTAGCTTACATGGGTGGAGAATCTGGCTTTGGCATGTTCTGGGATACAGTCCAACAAATTTCTAATGATGTAAATGGCAGTATTTGCATTAACCAATCATAATGATGAGTATAAAGGATGGTCCTCCTGGTATTCTGACTTCTCTTCATAGCTGTTTAAGAGCCCACTACTCCACTGATTCCTTTAAGCTGCTAGGTGATAACAAGGGTGTGTGAGACATTGAACTTACCAGAAAGAGCCCTAGACAAGGAGTGAGGAGACCTGCTTCAGTTCTCAGCTCTGCCACTGACTCTCTATGTGCCTTTAGCAAATCCCCTCGCTTCTCAGGACCTCTGCTTCCTTCTTGCAAGAATGATGGGTGGTGGTGGGGCATTCATTCTGGTCTCCAATATTTCATGATTTTATGGTCTTTTTTACATCTTTATTGGAGTATAATTGCTTTACAATGGTGTGTTAGTTTCTGCTTTATAACAAAGTGAATCAGTTATACATATACATATGTTCCCATATCTCTTCCCTCTTGCGTCTCCCTCCCTCCCACCCTCCCTATCCCACCCCTCCAGGCGGTCTATGGTCTTTTTTTTTCTTGCAGTCAATTGTAAATAAAACTGAGATAGAAAAAATGATTGGGAAAAAGGAGATGTTTAGTGTTTTAAGTTTTCCATGAAAAAATTGACCTCTGTGAAAGTTGGAAAAATATTACCTGATCTGTCCTACAATGAAACAAACAAAGGAAGAGGAACTTTGCTATTACAAACCAGCACTGATGTTGCTTAAGTTGGGATGACCTTGGGGAAGTACAGGCATCTCTGAATTATGTTAATATATTTCATAGTCTCTTCACTTACCTGTCCACACTCATTACAGTCATGATGGCACTACAGGCAAACTGGTTGCAGGTATCCAGGGATGTGATGTTGGTGCAGAGAGGCCCCCCAAACACCCACTGTCCTCCCCGGGCCCACTGGTGAATAAGAAAAGTCATTCCCATGATGTGGACCAGATCAGCCACAGCCAGGTTGCAGATATAAATGTTAGGAATTGGTTTTTTTCCTGGACCTGAAAGAAATGGAGGGAAACCCGAGGATTGACATTGAAAGTACACACCTTTAATTTATGCCATCTCTTACAGATTTTCAATTGCTAACATTATTTTAAAAGTTAAAAGGAAACCGTCACAAATGCACATATGAATGCTTGTGTATATTCAGACGTTTTGAACTATTTGATAACTAACTGCAGTGGTTTAAAAATATGTCCATAACTTCTTTGATACTGCTTTCAAGAGCGGGGGCCTAGGGCTTCCCTGGTGGCGCAGTGGTTGAGAGTCTGCCTGCCGATGCAGGGGACACGGGTTTGTGCTCCGGTCCGGGAAGATCCCACATGCCGCGGAGCGGCTGGGCCCGTGAGCCATGGCCGCTGAGCCTGCGCGTCCAGAGCCTGTGCTCCGTGGCGGGAGAGGCCACAACAGTGAGAGGCCCGTGTACTGCAAAAAAAAAAAAAAAAAAAAAAAGAGCGGGGGCCTAATTCCCTCCCTTTGAGTGTGGGTTGAACTTGGTAACTCACTTCTAACGAATAGGATGTGGTGGAATTGACAGTGTGACATTCAAAATTTGGACATAAAGGAATGGTGGGGTTTTCTCCTTGCTCTCTCTTGTATCACTTTCTCCGGGGGAAGCCAGGTGCCGTCTTGTGAGGTTACTCAGCAGCACCGTGAAGAGGTCCATGTGGAAAGGAACTGAGGCCTCCTGCCAACAACCAGTACCAACCTGCCAGACCTGTGAGTGAGCTCCCTTGGAGTAGATGCTCCAGACCTAGCCAAGCCTTTAGATAGTCCTCTAAAGATGGACAGACAGCTTGACTGCAACTTTTTGAGAGACCCTGAGCCAGAACAACCCAGCTAAGCTGCTCTTGGATTCCTGACCCTCAAAACTGTGTGAGAGGGACTTCCCTGGTGGCACAGTGGTTGGGAGTCCACCTACCGATGCAGGGGACACGGGTTCGAGCCCTGGTCCAGGAAGATCCTACATGCCGCAGAGCAGCTGAGCCCGTGCACCACAACTACTGAGCCTGCACACTTGGAGCCTGTGCACCGCAACAAAGGGGGGCCGCCACGATGAGAGGCCCGTGCACCGCAGCGAAGAGTGGCCTCGCTCGCTGCAACTGGGGAGGGCCTGCGTGCCGCAGCGAAGACCCAATGCAGCCAAAAATAAATAAATAAAAATTAAAAAAACAAACAAACAAAAAACTGTGTGAGATAACAAATGTTGATTGTTTTAAGTCACTAAGTTCTGAAGTAATTTCTACATAGCAACAAATTATACCAACTCTAAACTCACTCAGGCAAAAGACTTTGTCTTTACCTATCCCTAGCACCAAATATAGCTGAATAGGGAAAATAAATGTTTCCATCTTGCAATGTTTTTTTTCCCCCACTGAAGCTGTAAGTTCAAATCCTAACTGAGGCCATTGTTAAAACAATTTTTGACCATTACTTAGAAATATTCCAATAAAATTTAACTCAATAGAAAAGACTATTAATTAAGACCCTGAAATCCAGAGTGTGGAGTAGAAATCTGAAACGAGTGAATTGGTGGAGGGCACTGAGAAACACCTTCTGTCAAATGTTGGGGGAAGTGAAGGCAAAATAATTTTCTGAGAGCAGAAATTGAATTTAAAATTCAGTTGCTCCCTATCTTCAAAGAGTTGGGGCATTCAGTAATAAACAGGTATCATCTTTATCTAGGAGATGCTATTTATTAATTGAGCACCAATTATATGTCAGGCATAATATGGTGCTTTGGGCTGCAAAGCTAAGTCACCTAGAAAGTCTAACATCAAGGAGCTTATAGTCTAGATGTGTAATAAATGATCACATTATAACGTGACGAAAGAAAGCTAGAGAAAGCACAAGTAGCGCATACAAATGGGCCTCTACCCCCTCCTCTGGGGGCAGTCGAGGCAGATTTCTTGGCAGAAGTGACATCTGTATTGAGGACAGATAAGAATTTAAGTAGCACATAAGAATTAGCCCTAAGATTGTGCCACAATTATTAGTTCACCCTGGATCCAGGTCTATTGCTCTGTTGTTTGGAAGCTAGTGTGTGTCTTCATTATTCAGGGACTGCAAAGTCTACAGCCTGTGAACTTAATATTTAAGCCATCAAAGGCTCATGTGAGGCGTCAGTCAGGGCCAGGATATTTTACCCAGGCCATGGCAGCACACACTATATGGGGGAGTTACTGTTGTGAGTCCTTATTCAGCAACCACACTTTGGGCATTGTTGATGCCACTAATACAGCAGGTTGGTTCCTTGTCCCCAGGACGTTGGTGGCTCATATCAGAAAGACCAAGAAGGAGAAGAGACTTGAGAAAAAAAACATGTCAACCAAAAGAGATGCTAAATGACTGTCCTTGGTCTCTAATCCTCGTCCTCACCAGACCATTGGGAGTAGGAGATGGAGAGGGCTCAGGGGAGAGGAACTGATATTAGAGGTCAGCTGGAAGGAGTTCCACGCTAAAAAACAAAAACAGAAGCAAAGGGACTTCCCTGGTGGTGCAGTGGTTAAGAATCCGCCTGCCAATGCAGGGGACACAGGTTCGAGCCCTGGTCTGGGAAGATCCCACATGCCGTGAAACAACTAAGTCCGTGCGCCACAACTACTGAGCCCGTGAGCCACAACTACCAAAGCCTGTGTGCCTAGAGCCCATGCTCCACAACAAGAGAAGCCACTGCAATGAGAAACCCGCTCACTGCAATGAAGAGTAACCCCTGTTCACCAGAGCTAGAGAAAGCCAGTGCATGACAACAAAGACCCAGCACAACCAAAAATAAATAAATAAAAATAAATTAAAAAACACAAAGCAAAAACACAATAATAAAAAACCCTATAAATCTTTGCCTATTAAGTAGATGTTATTTCCATTTGAATTGGGGTATAAACCACAAGTGGTTGCTTAGGTCCTAACTGCAGCAATTAGATCCATGGCCCTTGCTCTCCTCCAGGTAGGCACCCATCATTTACTGATAATGAATTATGGAAATTCCTTTGTTGAGGACAGTGCATGCCATTAACTGGAAATACAAAAGAATAAAATAAAAGTGTTTCTACATGATACTCTGTATAGCAAAAGAGAATTCTGAAGCCAATGATATATTTATCTGGGCATAAGGTACTAGGGTAATAAAACTAACACATTATATTTATTATTACTTTTTTAAACTGAAAGTGACTGCATAGAAATTAAAAATAATTAAATAGAAATGGTAAAATTTCTAACTATACCACTTGCATTCTTTTCTTAGGTCTAATTTATCTTCAGATTTCATGTTGCCAGACTTCATTAGATTTCTGTCTCTCATGAACCAAACACTAAAAAAAATATGTAAATCAGTGATCATTTCAGCTAACGTGTTTTTCATATGGTTAATATGGCCATATCTAAATGCTATGATAAATTAAGGTATACCACAATCCCATACAATAAATGATAGAGTTGTTACAAATCATACTTTGGAAGAATATTTAATCAAATGGGAAAGTACTTATTAAGTAAAAAAAAAAAATCAACTATGTACGTAGTATGACCCCAAATTTATTTAGACATTTGTCTAAAAACATGCTGAAATAATATGTCACAGTAATCCCAGTGATTATCCACTTGGTAGTAGTAGTATGACTGATTGTGACTTTATTCTTTGTATTTTTTAATGTTTAAAAAGATTCTATTAAAAACATGTTTACCTTTTGCAATCAGAAACAGCGATATATGCAATGGGTTAAATAAAACTAAAAATATATATATAACCCCACACAAGCAGGATGATTCCTTGCTGTTCAGCCTACTCTCAAGCCCACTTTTCACCCTTCTGCACTTTGTTCCTAGGTCTTCTTGCCAACTGGCTTTTGTTTTGTTTTGGCCAATAGGAAGCACTATTGGAGGGAAATTGGAGGGTAAGATGAGAGAAGAGGCCAGGGTATTTCCTTCCCCTCTCTGCTGTTGGCATCTCTGGCGGTGGCTGCATCCCACCCATGGCTCCACCTTCCTCCTGCAGTTCCCGCTCCATGGTCCCAGATCCCACTGTGGCTACAGCTCCCACCAGGCAGCCCAAACTTCCAAGATCTGTAAAACCACTTTTTTCCCCTCCATTCAGCTCAGGGCCAGGAGAAGGGTGGTGGTGTCGGGGCAGAGAATGGTGGTAGGACATGGTAGTACCTTCCTAATTTTGTTTATCTCTGGGTTGCCTCATGAGTCCTTGTTTGGCATTTAACTCTAGTTAAATTATATTCCTATTGTGAGTGTAAAAATTAATAAACAGAAACCTCAATTAAAATGGAGTCAGGAGGCCAGAAGCGGGGAGCTCTCATGCCCTACGATAGCAGAGATCAACAGAAGAAAGACTTTTTGCCTGGCAGGAGCTTAGCCAATGAGAGACTGTCACCACTCAGCCAGTGACAAGCCACTATATTTTGAACTCTCAATTTCTCCAATGGACTCTGTTTACTACAGCCCTCCCAACTTCTTTTTCCCCCTCTGTAAAAGAATCCTTCTCTCTCTGTTGGTTGACACTTGCATGTGGCTTGCCATAGTTGCAGATCCCCAATTGCAATACTTTGCTGATCTTGAGTAAACTAATTTATGCTTCCGAAATAACTGGTAGTTCATTTGTTTAAGGTCAGCATGAGGCAACACCAATGGATTAGTAGTGATTTCATAAAGCACTGTGCTGAGAATTGTGAGTCATCACACAGGCGCTACTAAAGGACAGATCTGTGTGATTAGACATGACTGCCAAGGGTGGGAGAGTTTAGAGTAGAGTGACGTATTTGCCAACCCTGCTCTAGATACACAGTGTAAGATATATAAAGAGAACCTAATTGGAAATTCTAGTTTCATTTCTGTGCCCTCACTTATTGTGTCCTTGGGGAAGACATTCAACCCCTTTCTACTCCAGAGCTGTCTTGGTGCATTGGACCATAGCAACAAGGGTCTCCAATCAACTTTCCAGTTCATTTGAACAGATGTGACTGGGAGGTTTTGTGGCATCTAA